ACGAAGCAAAAAAGCAAGCAGGGATGTTTTTGTTTATCTTTTAACTCTTAGTGTTTATTCAACTTTCAAATTTGAAGAATTAAAATACCTAAAGCAGTCTATTGTTGATTACTTGCTGCTTTAACAGCAATAATAATACAGATTATTTTTTTATTATTATTATTGTTTGGTTACTTCTCAAACCTGGATGTGCAGAAGCTTCCTGATGCGCATGCGCAGAGCATCTAGGTCTATTTTAACAAAGATGCAAGCTGGCTGTCTCCGCTCATTTCCACATACCGTTTCCACTAAACCGTAGGACTCCATATAATCCTGGCATGTGATGTTTCTTTCTATTGCGGTGCTGTTCTGGTTCATCTCAATGTTGTAAACACGACTGCTACATCTGGCTGAACCGGTTCGCTACACTGAAATGTATTTAAATTGCGAAGTAAATGTGCTACGATACAGAAAGCAAATACTGTCACAACGTTTGCGGATAAATAGAGACTATTCTCCAATAGCCTGTTTGTTTTTGGAAACTATAGAGACCAGACGGTTTCTCACCTGACAGGTTCCCTTTTTCGCCTCTAGTACCGCCATTTTTCTCATTTAACCCAAGCGTTTCGTTAACTCCCTCTTTCTGCTTATTCTGCTCCGCATTGTTAGTCTTGGTATCTCTCTCTTTGTCTTCCTTTTCTTTTTCCTTTTCCTCGCCCAGACCTGTCAGCGAATCCGCCATCTTCGACAAAACGGCCTCAGCTGCTGCCAGGGAGACTGCGCAACGCGCCGTGACGTCACCACGCACCGTTCAGAAGGTGCCGTCGGAGACAACCTTCTTCTTCTTGTTGGAAGAGGAAGGCAATATACATTTAGTAGCATTACCGCCACTTACTGGTATGGAGTGTGGTTCGTGATGGACTATCTACCTAACATATATATAATTTCTAAGGGGAAAGTATATATAAGTATAAAAAAAAAAAACAAAAAAAAAAAAACTGTTTTAGACCCCTCGTGGGGTGGTATGTGTCATCCTCAAGCTCGGGTCCTCTACCAGAGGCCTGGGAGTTTGAGGGTTCTGCGC